CTGCCCCCCGTGCCCTGAGCATCCCCCGCCTCTCCAGGCAGCTCGTTTCCTAGCCCAGATTCTGCTGCGCATTTCTGAAACTGCCAGGGGGGATAAAAAAGTGCAAATTACTTCTTGGCCTGCTTATGATTATGCCTATGCTGAATTACTTGATAATGACACAGCCAGGCTGCCATCACCAATGCTGTGTTCTTGACAGCCAGCCAGGGTGCAATGTGAGCCTCTCCAGCCAGTTAATGAAAACCCCTTTCGACAACCCCTGAGCAGTCCCAGGACTAAAAAAAAACCTTGACGGTTGCTTCATGTGAGCTGTAAGCATCGGGGCCTGATGCTGAGACTCCCTGGTGCCCCGGGAAGGGATGGTTTGAAGCGAGGTGCCTGGACATAGGTGGTAGTGGTGTGCCATGGGTGGGGTGACCAGTGACCTGGTGAGTGCACGAGTCACTGCTAGGCTCAGGCTAAGGGGGTCCATCATGCAGAGCTGGTGTGCGCAGTGGGGGTCCCAGGGGACCCAAAACCTGCTGCATTTCAGTTTCCTCACCTTTCCCGTCGTTGCTGCCGCTCATCGCAGTGTTTCCCCCCACAGGCTTGGCATAGCTTTCGCTTATTACGGCGTCATCTTGGCCAGCGCTGAGTTACTCGAGCGGGACCTCGTCTGTGGCTCTGCTGCACCACCAGTGCAGGACCCTGGTGACGACTCTGAGGAGAGCCGCAGCCCGTGCCACTGCCGCTTGGTTGGGCCTGCTCCCGTGCCACTGCCGCTTGTTTGGGCCTGCTGCCTACCAGACCATGATCATCAGCACAGTCGGAGAGATCGCACGTAATCTCTTCTCCCCTCCCTGCCCTGCCATTCCCCTTTTACAGCCAGCCAATATTCGCTGCAAAGCTTTTAGCTTTGCATGCATTTAGTCACGTCACGTGCCAGAGGTCGAAATGTCCTCAGCATCGCTGGCAAGTGCCAGGCACAGGCTCTTCAAATGAAGGTCTGGGACACAGGCCATGAGCTGGTGGCAAGGGGCAAGGGAGGGCATCGCTTCCCAGGTGAATAATTCAACTTCAGCACAGGTCCTTCCAACAGCAGAGCCAAAGACCTCCTTTGCAGTTAGTATGTACTGACAGGCTTGGTTAGATTCCAGGGGAAATTGCTCCTAACTTACCAGAACCAAGCCTGGCTTCCCAAATTCCCAGACGTAGTTTTTGGAAAGTCATAAATAAGCAAGGATTGCAAATAGTCACATTAATGTAACACCTGAATGCACCACACAAGTGCCCTACTTTCAAAGAAATGGCAGCCTCAGGAGCAGGTCCTGTGCCGAGCGCTACGGTAAAGGACAGCTAAGTGCCCAGGGAATCCGCAGCAAACCAAAATGCTTCCTGGGGCAGCCTGCCAGGAAGCGCTGGGGGATGGCAGGGCAGCCCAAAGGCAGCCACTTGGCACTGGGTGTGGGTCTAGTATTGCAATGCTCCTGGGAGGTGAACGTTTTCCCTGGTTCATGTAGAAACTGAGCTACCAAGCGACTGGGTGCTGGAGCCTGCAGGTGCAGCCGGGCTGGGACCAGTCCAGTGATGCACTCGGGTGCCTGCTTGGCTCCTGGCTCAGGGGGGGACTCAACAGGAACACACTCTGGGCCCCCGTGTTTGGCTGGGCCGTGGCCAGAGGGAGCAAAACCACCCAGGCCCGTGGTGTTCACCCAGCAGGTGCCTTCCTTGCCTGCACAGCTCAGGACCAGCGCTGGTAGTTTCAGAGGACAGGCTCCATCCTCTGAGAGGAAGGACAAACAGAAAAGGGGCACGGGGGCAAACTACAGGGTTTGGGTACAGGAAGGGAATTATAGGGTTTGTGCATTTTGTAGAGCATTTGGTAGGCGCTGGGGATGCAGAGAAGTATTTTTGAGGCACACTGGGTAAGGTCTATCAAGACAGGCAATCATTGCAGTTAGGTCATCTAACATTTTACAGTTTTGCTTTTTATCTCCAGTAAATCCTTTGAACATTCTCGGCATCAATTTCCTCGGAAGACGCCTGAGCCTGTGTATCACCATGGGATGTACGGCGCTATTCTTTCTTCTCCTTAATATCTGCACCTCGAGGTAGTCTCGCTCAGCACATGGGTGTTGTTGGGGGGTGGGCGGTGCAATGCTGCGGGCAGAGAGCAGTACCTGTGGTATTCTCAGGTCATCGGTCAGTCAGCCCAGTAATTCTTGTACACCTGAAAAACCCCTCTGACTGGTTCTCTGCACTTCTCGGTAAAGCTGTGGCAGCAGATGCTGTGGTGCAGGTGTGTGCAGAGCAACTCATATTACTGAGCCCACATGGCTTCCCCTAAACATACAACTAGCTGCTTTCTAGTGCAGTCTGGAAAATTAAAAATGATGTGAAGAACATCCACTAGAAAGAAGTCACGTTTTTCTGTCAGTCTCTTCCCCCCCCCCCCCTCCCCCCCCTTCTTTCATTTTTGGCAATGCTACATATGTCTCCTCTAACTTGTAGAGTCGGGCACTTCAAGGGGAGCTCAAGGCATCAAGGGAAGGCTGCCATGAGTGCTGTAATTATCAGGTTGATTTGTGAGGATGTGTAAGAAGGACCCCTCTCAAGCTGGCAGAGCTTAATGGTTACTGACAATCAGGATGGCTTCAAGCTGAAGTTTCCTCTAAACTGGCAGGTAGAGGGCTGCTCGCCAGCGGTGTACACCCCTGCTGCCTGCCCCATGGGCCACTGGCCCCTGGAGGCTGGCTGAAACACTTGGGAGCTGGAGTGGGAGGCTGCAAATAGTCGTTAAGCTAAATAAACCCCTGACAGGAAGCTTACAGTCACTCAGTAAGGCATTGGCCTCTGTACTGCTATTATGATTTTCAGTTTTCCCTGAAACTGAGCCTGACCGTATTTGCTTGCAGCAGTTTTATACGGGAACCGAAAGTGAGAGCTAGGCTGGAAGTCGGACTTGGCCGTAATGCTGACGGCACCAGCTGAGCCACTGTGGTTCTGTTCAGGTCATTCTCTCCAGCCCCTAACAGTGGCCTAAAGGAAACCTAACGTGCAATAGCCCATTGTCAAACATGCCTTGCCAATGGACTAAAGAAAGATTATACTTGTCAGCAATCAGCTCTTCCTTATGCTTTCCCTTATATTAAGCTGGTAAAAACTTCAGCACAGTGCATATATTAGGTTGCACCTCTGCTGATCACTGTTCAGTGATACTAACTCTTTGCTCCACGCTGCTTTCTCTCTAGCGCAGGCGTGACTGGGTTTCTCTTCATGTTGCGTGCCTTGGTTTCAGCAAACTTCAACACCATCTACATTTACACAGCAGAGGTGGGTCCTCCTGAAAGTACGTTAAACTGCTCTGGGGCATGAAAGACCATTTGCCTATACCCAGGAAAGCTGTCATATTTATTGACTAGTTAGTCACCTTCCTTGCACTAAGTATCTCTGGCTTCCTGCCCACACTGTTTTCATATGCAAGATCAGAGAAGGAATCAGAAAACTAGTTGGAGATGACAAGAGCAGGTGGAAAAGGAATGCCCTACTGAGCCACCCATCTACAAAATGTTATTTCTGAGGATGTTGTGTACCACCATCTTCCAAAACCCACAATCTTTCCCCTCCCCAGCCCCTGCAAAGTTAGAAAACAGGCTATCGCTGAAAAGAACCTTTTCCAGCACTTAAGGGACTGATAGTAGTCAGTCATACTACTACGGCCAGTAGTATGAGGTAGCATATATACGATTTTTTTCACTTACTAGAAATTGCTGTGTTCTGTCTGCAAACAGTTTTAATCCTTCAGAGAGCTTGTCCTTCATACAACTTTGGAGCCATGAGTTCTGTGGGTTAAGTATGCATTGTTGGGTTTTTTTGTTGTTCTGTTTTAAACAATCGTGTGGAGTTAAATGTGTCGCCTTGCTGATTGAGTAAAGTGATAAAAAGCAAACAGAAATAGCTCCCTGTGTTGGCCTGATACTTCTTTTAATAGTACACTGTACTGTTCAAGCATGCACCAGGCTTGAATAAATACCAACATTTTAATAGTCCTGAATTGGATGCTGTTGATGTAAAGACCATTGCTGCAACGGCTATATCATAAACCAATACTACTCACAATTTAACCAATGATCAAAACCAAACTTGGAAATGCCCTTTTCCAGCCACATGCCTGGACTCATCTTGAATTATCTTACCTCCATTGGCTTGGCCCAGTAAAGTATTTAAACAAAGGCTTCCATGCGTGTACTTGCTAAAATCTATTGATATTAACAGGACTTAATGAAAGTTAAGCAAAATAAATGCTCAAGTGTTGTATTTGTACAGGTATTTGGGAGATGTGAAAAAGAAAATACACAAAGTGCATTCTTCTAAGCCTGGAGGTTTCTTACTGGGATCTGTTTTTCCTCTGTCTAAACAAAAGTGCTGTTGATGATACAAATAAATAAGCAGTCTTGAAGGCAGTATCCTTTCTTCCTGCTTTCCAGATACAGGGCCTGGCAATATAAATTGAATTCTTCCTTTAGCTGCCCAGCACCTGGGAGAAAGGTGGTGGTAAGCAAACAACAGGGGAATCGTTTCCAGCCTTGATTGACTTGCCCGAAAACCTTACTTGGGGCAAAAAAATGGCAGATTTGTAATGGCACAAAAGAAATGCAAAGGAGCCGTTCTTTCTTTTCATAATTTATCCCACTAGCTGCCCTCGATAACGTAATGGGTCTTTTAATTTTTTCTTAAAAAAAAAAAAGGAAAAATAAGGACACATATCACAGATCTTTGTTGCACTAATCCGATTTCTTTCTGGCCTGTTTTAGGTTTATCCCACCACAATGCGAGCCCTGGGGATGGGAACACGCGGGTATTTGTC